TGAGCAACAACAGATTAGAATAAAGTATTGTCAAACATTTTATTAACTTCCGTAAAGGTCACTTGAATAAAACACTGACCAATACCTATCGAACATTTTTGCTAATTTCACTTACTTCACTCTCAGTGATGCGTGGTGTATGTCGGATGTCGGACTACCGATCTGAAGGTCTCTGGTTCGATTCTTTACCAATAGCAGGTTATATATATTCTTGTTCAATTTTAACTTGCAAGAATTTATTTGAAATGATTGTACTACACCTGGATTTAGAATACATTTTTAGTACTGTTTTTATACACAATTATATTATATAATTAGATATTCACATTTATATCGTAAAGTTCACGGAATATACCGACTACAGGGTCAAATGCAAGATTGCCATTGTTGGACAATTACTGTATGTTTACACTACATCTCAGAGTGTATCGCTGTAGGTAAAAAAATAATCGTTCTAAAAAAAAAAAAAGAAAAAAAAAAGAAGGTAAAGCCGTTTGATTATTTTGACATTCCAGTGCTCAAGAAAACAATATGAAAACCTAAAATTAAAGTTATCCGCCTACTTAAAAAATCGAAAAATTTTTTCCTCCACAATACTTTTTTTTCTAAACATAAATTTTAAAATACCATGCCAATCCCCGGATGCGGTCATTTTTCAATTACATTTTTCCCCCAGAGATTTGGGGCCCCCTTTTCTTTTCCAAACACATATTTATTATGTATATTCTTAATCAATTACAAGACATTCTTCTCCAACTACTCCAAATATTTTTTTCTGTATTCAACAATGTTTTACTCGCATTAGCTATTGGTAGAAGCTCCTTATCAAACTTTTAAAAAGTGCAGTCCAAATTCCAGTGTCTGAAGCATTTCACTGCAGAACAAATGTAATTGAGAAATCTGGAAGTCATAGTTCTGGTGATCATGTAAATACATGCTTATCTGTTATATCCAGCTAAACCAAGAAAAGATCTTAATTGCTTCTTTCCCTTTGGTCTTGCAATATCTCCTTTAAATCAATTTCTTCTCTTTCTTTTATGTTTGACCGTTGGCAACAATTTGACCGGAAAATTGTAAATTATTGAAATCCAATCATACGTTAAGAAGGTTTAACTGCTATCTTTTCTTCTCGACATGATTATTTTTTGATCAACTGTCATAAATACTAATATGTTTACTAGTATCCCCCATTACGGTATGTACAAGTACATTGTAAAGTTAACTTAGTAAAAATATGAGTATCACTTATTCTTGAAAGCAACGTTCGCATCATCCTATTCGATTTTGCTCCAGAATTGACCATTACAAGGTGCATCTTTCTGAGTTTATAGTTTCCGTCTGTTGTAGAAACTGTTGTAAGATGTCTTGATTCTAAATCAATAGGCATTTACAATATGACTCAAATCAATTTTGGTAAAGAACTTATTTTCGTAAAGCTTTTCCATATTACATCCTCAACATCACCCTGGCTCGGTTTGATTGAGCCTGTTCATGGACGGTACTGGAATATGCAAGTCACTGTCCACGCCCCCTAACATTGGCTTAAGCAGAATTCAACATTTAAACACAAAAATGGTGAAAATTTGGAATTTAGAAACATCCGCAGATGTGTTCATACGGCGGTTATCATGGCACCTTCAATGTGACACAGTAGTGTCATTTCATTAAAAGCGGCGTATGGTCCCCGAGTTAAAGAATGCGTGTGCCCTAAACGAGAAAACAATTAGCGGAAAAAATAAAATGGAATTTTGGAAGGGGGTTTGAGGTTATGAAGCCTGAATATCACAGACACGCTGTCAAAAAAAGACAAAGCATTTAAACCATGCATTTACTACATATTTCTGTTCGAGTGATAACTGATCATTTACATTTACATCTGTGTGCGTCGTCTCTTTCTTCACCCTGTGTTTCTTCTTGTTATAAAATATTTTTATCAGCACCTCAGTATCCAACCCCAGTATCATTATTTTTTTTTGCTTCTATATACTGCTTCACAATCACAAATCCTATCTTCTGTCTCTCTCTTCGTATTTCTTCAGAAGATTTATGTTGTACACTCCAATTATAGAACTACTTTTACTTTATAGTCAAATTTGTTAACTGTTTTAATAACATCAACTTGACCTTTCCATGTTGAAAGAAGGAACAATAAATATATATATATTGCGAGTCTCTGGTACTTTTGTCTTTATCCACAATCCTTTTCATGTTTGTATGGAACCTCTTACAGTCGTGGCATATAAAAATTCAAATGATGAAATATCCTTCACAAGTCTTGACTAAGGAACTTCCTTGTATGCAAATAAGGAGAACATCAGCTAAACATCTGTCACATTCAATATATCTTTCATGGCACTCTTTAAGCATGTTATTCTTAAAGACCATTCTTTTTCTTATAAAGACATCTCATGGGAAAATTCATAACTCCTTTGTATTAGCTGCCGGTCTCTTTTTACCATGTCAGTTCTTGGCAAATTCAACCCATATTTTAACGCGTTTCATTTTTTCTAAAATGGAAACAATCTCATTTTGTTACATTATTTAAAGGTTAAAGGTAAATAAGTTTCATTTTCTATCCTTTTTATTTTACATGGCAAATTGGTATGCTATCAAGGCAACTACTTTTTTAAAAGCGCATGCTAGAAATATTGTAACTAACCATGAGAAATTTTGGTAATGGCATAACCATGTCAATAAAATAAAAAAAAAATTCATCTATAATTTTTTACAAATTTCAACAATCATCTCTATTACCTTCATCACATAATCATCAACCCATCCCAATCTGCATTCTTCCAGTCATTATTATTCACATATATCATCCAAATCATCATCATAATCATAATTATCACCGCTATTTCAAAACATCATTTAATCAGGTTGATTATCGTCATTATTATCTTTCATTTACAATAACCATCTTCCTTCTCCTCATCCTCGACAACATTCCTACCATCATCAACATATTCATGATTATAAGTCAAATCATCATCATTATCAATATTTGTTTCCCTCTTTTAATTGCAATCATCATCATCATCATCATCACCTGAATACTCATTCCATTAGTTATCATTATTATCATCATCATCACATTCCATTTTTTATAGTTCTCATCAGTATCATCATCATCATCATCAGCAGCAGCAGCAGCAGCAGCAGCAGCAGCAGCAGCAGTTATCTTCATCGTTATCATTGTCTTCATCAAAATCATCATTCAAATATTAATCACAACTATCAGTGATAAGATTCATCATCATTATCATCATCATCTCCAACTTATTCACCGACGCCTTAGTTGAAAATAAATATATACATATAGTGAATGACACGTTAGATATTTTGGTTATAGAGATATAAAAAGAGATTTTTAAAGTAACTATGGGCCCATGGTCATGAACAAACTCATAGGTGGATTTTTCCAACACATGGATGTTCAGGCAGTTTACCTGGAACCCCTCATGAAGGTGATGCAGGGTACCCTTTCTGCTTCTGCCTTCCCATCAACAATATTTGTAGATTGGCAGCACTTCCTCTCATGCGCGGAAGGCATGTGTTTTGCATTCGATTATTGGTGCAGAATCTTTCACAATGGGGAAAATTTAGATATAAAAATATTAGAAAGTTTCATTCCACTTTTAAAGCTTTTATTAAATTTGTAAACACATATTTTTATTTATCAGGTAGAATGATCTACTATAAACATAATATTAAATTCTAACATATCAATGAAAGTAAGTTTTACATACATTTACTTTAATTGCTGATAAGACAAAAATAAATAATATTTAATTATTAAGTTACATCTTGTAACCTGAAGTTTTTAACAAAGTTTTGAACATATATTTTCCAAAGTTTCAAAATATGAACAGCTAAGTGTTGTTAATTAAATTTCAGTCATTTAACATCAAACATTTTCAAAATGTACATAGAATTAAATACAACTTACCTAGATATAAAATATAAGAAAGTATTATTAACTTTTTCAGCTTTTATTCAATTTGTAAACACATATATTTATTGATCAGGAAAATTAAACTACCAGCTGGAAAAGGGATCTTTTAAAGGGTTATCTCACTGTCCATTGGTTTAACTTAGTTGACCAATAATTAAACATTATTTCTGGAGAGGCGGAACTACAAGTTCTTTCTTAAGTCTGAAAATACTTGTGAACTAACTTACATATTTACTAATCAATATCAGCAAAATTAATTTTATATGCTTTTATAAGAAATAAAGTTTATCACAGATGTAAATATATCATCCATTTTGCATTTTTTGTCTAGTATAAAAAGTTTTTTTTAGCTCAATGGCTACTCTCAGACAACATGTCACCCGTTTGAGACAGTCTAATTGACAACATGTATATGAGATTTAACAAATGTATAAGTTTATGCCTAACTTTGAAAAAAAAAGAATTTAAAATAGAATTCAGTACAAATATTTCGCTCACTTATTTAATATGCACAATACAAAAAATATAACAAGAAAAACAGATAATGTTTCATAGCATGACACATTATAACACAACATTCACATGCATACCTGAAAACAAAGTTATATGATAACTGAATAAAAAAGGTTGTGAGTGAAATTATTCAGGTGTCCGATAAAAGGATCTATTTTCTAAAAAATCTAAAACGCCCATTGTCACTTTTGTCAATATGAAATAAATCAATCATTTACATTAAAGTTTATTTAACCATTATTTTTGGATACACGTACATGCATTTACATAACTGTCGTGAAGCCGTAGGTCAGTTTGATTATGTGCGGCCATTCTTGCAAATTCGTGAATTTCTAGTTATTGATAGATTATAATTGGATAATTTCAGGAAAAATAGTGTGGTAAAATTGAAGATTGTAAGATAACAGTCAGCAATTAAAAAATCCAAACCAACAACATTTTACTTACAAAACACTGACCAATCTTATATGTTTCCGAATCAAGAGACTGTTGTCGAAAGAGTCAATGTCAGACTTACTATGCATTGCTTCCTTATTTTGGATTTCAACTCTTGGTACAAACATATGCGGTCACGGTCATATTTTATGGACATCGTCCTCATAAAGCTTCGAGTCATCAGAGACGTCCATAAGTTCACTCAAAAGTAGCAGTGTTAAAGTAAATGATTCGTGATTAATGACGGTTTCGTAATGATTTTCAATATGGCGGCGTATACTTATTCCATCTCTGA